TTATGTAAAATACATAAATAAGCTCATTAAATTTGCATCTAATTTATCCACCTTTGCCATTATGAATGATAATTTAAAAATAATCTCCTCAATTTGCATCTAAATACCCCAACTATGCCATTACAAAAGATAATTTAAAAATAACTCTTAAATTTGCATGTAAATTATCTACCTCTACGATTACAAAAGATAATGAAAGGTAACCTCTAAATTGTCTTTTTAATTACGTGTATCTACCATTATGAAAGATATAAGGTAAAGTAACCCCGTTTAATTGTATCTAAATTGCCTAAATCTACCACCATAAAAATTGGTGCAGGTGGTCAAAGAGACTTTTCTTTCTTAGTCACATGAGCGGTGGTCTAGTCTACAGATTGATGGTGGCTATAGTGTATGTGATCTCTTTCGTAATAATACTCCTACATGCCATGTGCTACTCAGGGAGTTTCTTCTAAGACTTGTATCAACTAGATGTATTATTTTTTAAAAAAAATTATAAAGTCTTACTTTATCAAAATAATAATAATGCGAAGTCTGCATATATTATGCATAAATACGGACAAATCAAGAAGGAGCAAATAAATAAATTTACATTCGTGCCCTCCATTTTCGTGTATACGTGGACATTGAGGCTACAAGACAGCGTGTAGCGTTGCGGAGGCCCTGAGCGGTGTGCCTTTGTGAAGATGATTGACCACACAGGGCCCGCAAGATCGAGGGCCCCATGTATTATCTTATGTTGGCACTCAAAGTAGTGCTAGGAAGTGCTAACTTATTACTATGCAATTTAAACCACAATTTTCTATTAAAATGTAGTTGTAATGTCTAATAAATGTATGCGAAAATGTTGTTCAAGACAAATCTATTCATATGATCTTTATGTCTCTAAACTAAATATTTTGAGAGCTATATGTTGTCAAATTTTCAAAAGTTTAATTGGATTTGTCAAAGTGTCATATATTTATGATCGGGAGGAGTACAACTTTTCTACTTGAATTAGATTAACATGCCAAGAATGAGTAGTGAAGGAACTTGTGTGAAGCATCCGTAATTCTCTTAGTTTCCTCTATCGTATCCTATTTTTATGGTATTTCATGGCTTCATTTTGAGTACACCATTACGTGTTTTATAATAGCGGGGTGTTTCTTAGTCATTCTATTTTTGTTGGTTTTTTCACAGCATAAAGATCTTGTTTACTAATAGACTTGACATTTAATGGTTGTCTTTTGCTTTAGTTCTATGAAGCAGCTGCTATGTTTAGCACTTTTCCACTATTTGTTAGCATTTCCAAACAGCCTATGGCTATTTTGTAACTTGTAACAATATGTCTAGTTGAGTGCATGCCTATACAGAAAGCAGAATAAAGAGTATTTTGTTTTCTAAAAATAAAGATCTTATTGGGAACACAAAGATTTCATAAATTAATTGAACTTTTTGTTCTCCAGGTGGGAATGTTGGCTTAACAATCCCGTTTCTCTAAAGTAGAACAAAGTTCGTGTACTCCTTCCAATTTAGTTGTTCCTTTCTTGACATCTGTTCGTCGTTTATCATTTTTACAGTGTAATGGCGTGTTCACAGTACTGAAAGATCAATTGCAGTAAATGAAAGGACTCCAACCAATGGCTTTCTTAAAAACTAAGGAAACTCGTTTTTTAAAAGGAAAAAAGGGACTCCAACCATGAATTTGAGTTAGCTCAAGGTCACTCGGTGCTATCAATAATACAACGGATAAGCTTGAAGAAGATTTGGCATCAGTGATCAAATTTCATCATGCACATCTGACTGAGTATATATATGAGCAAGAGAGACTGAACACACCTGAGTCACCGAATCGAATTAGCTTAGAGAGGTGATGCAGATCGATTTTGTTGAATTTGGAGATGATTTGGCGTGTGGTTTATCGTGGCATGGTTGTGAGAGGTAGCGACACATGCATATTTATAACCGAGTCAGGTAAAATAAACAAGGCGTCTTGGAGCAGGATCATTATACTTTGTCGCAAACATAAATAAGACAGCTAACTTTTTGTTGCAGCATGTGTGGTGGTGTGATGCTTGTGGAGCGGCTTTGGTTGTACAGTGGTTTAGAGCTTAGTTTATAGAGGCCCCGTTCGGTTCACTGAAAAAACAAGCTGAAACACTATTCCGGTTGATTTGTTGTGAGAGAAAAATATTGTTCCGGCTGAAAAAACAAGCTAAAAAAGACGGATTATAAGATAAACGAACAGGGCCAGAGTGGTGTATGGGTTTTAGAGTTCTCATGAGGCGGCGCGTGTTGAGGTCCCAATCTAACCGGATGTTGTCTATAGTTGTTTTAGATGCTAGTTAGTTGTTTTAGATGCTAGTTGGTTGGTTGTTACTTTTTTTTTTGTTTGCCGGGCCCTTTGGGGTTTCTTGTTGCTTTATCCGGTCTGAGTTTTTTTTAATATAATCGACAACTCACTTGCTGATTCTTTGAAAAAAAAAGACAGCTAACTTCTCCAGATTTCTTGCAAGCAATCGGCAACGGGCAACGCGTGTAAAAGAGCTGTGTACGAAACATCACCTAACGCAAGCTTCCTAAACCACAGAACCTCTGCAATCCTTTATTCCTGGCTTCGATAACCCTGGTTCTCGTTATGCCAACTTGGGAATTCAGCTAAGTCGGATGCCTTCTTATCAGTGGTTCAAGAAAGGCACAAGTTACCATAAAACTCTTTGGGAGGTTTGTTATGTTTTTTTTTAGGTACTTTTGTTTCCTCCCCTCTAAAATAACCTGGAGTCCTGGACCATTGCCTGCTGCTCGCGACTCGTGAGTCGCTGACAACCTAATGGCCTGAATCATCTAAAAATGATTTTTTTTGGGTATGGGAAAGAGAAAAACTTTATTAGTACTAATAGCTGGACGAATACTTTGACCAGAAGTGTGGAAATACTTGGGCACCGAAACGAAACCGCGAATTGCATTATGGTGTCGGTGTGGGTAGACGGTAGTTGGGTTTGGGTCACACCACACCTCATGACCACTGAGGACTACTCCCTCGGTATCAAAAAAGAATTACGCTATTAGATACGTGTCAGTCAAACTTTCTCTAATTTGACTAGCTTTATATAAAAATATTAGCAATATTTATATCACTGCATAAATTTATTATGAAAATATATTTTACGATTTATCTAATGATACTTATTATGCATTATAAATATTAATATTTTTTTGCTATATAATTGATCAAAGTTAAAAGCCCTATTTGATTGGTGAGTTTATCGACTGATCCAATAATGTTATGTAAGCGAGCTGACTTCTCGGAGGGAGTACTAGCTGAGCAGGCACGCGCAGGACGTGCTTGCGAGTCGTGCCGAGGCCCGAGACACACCGTGTATTTTATTTTATTTTATAAGGGGCCCGAGGCACACGTTGGAACCAAGAAAGTAGACAGGGAGGGGTGACACGAGCTTTCCTCGCTCTTCTCCTTTCTTCGCCTGAAATCTCCTTAATCCTCATCGTTTTCTCCACGTCGTTTTTGGTCAATTCTGCCACATGTTCAGTAATTCTTCATCGTAACGTATCCAAAACTGAATTCGCAACATGATTGGACCAGGACCAGCATAGCAATTTAGCAGCTGCAAAAGATCAATTTTTCTGAATGATTACTAGATCAACGAATCAAGTGTCTACTGCCTCAGAATTCATCTTTTCCCCACCAGAAAAAGTTAGCATCAGAATTCTTGGGAGAACACACCAGCCATTGTACATCCAACCACAAGAACTAAATACAGAAAGATCAAGTATTTGCAGCACAGCCAGGAGGTCCCGCTGCTCTCTTAGACATATAACATTCAGAACAAAGCTTTACATCACTTTACCGTGCTTTGGTCGCCAATCGGCTACAAACGATTTGGCAACAACACCTAATCAATTTCCTCCGACTGACAGGATGAACTGAAGCTGGAGGTGTCGAAACTCTTCTGGTGCAGACAAAAAGCACGCTTCAATTCCTCAGCTATCTCTACCTGTAAGAAGGCAACTCTCCTGCAGGGAGGTCCCAGTTGTCATTTTCCTCATCGTCAGTGGTCTGCTCCTTCGCCCCCTGATCATCACTGAAAGGGAATGGGCCCTTGAATCACCTGCAGCAGAGTGATTGGGCTCAGTTAGCAGGAGTCAGGAGTTTCTTATATTGTTGCTACAACTCAAATGAACTGGATGAACATTGAAATGACCAAAAACAATAATCTTTTTCAGAAAGGGGAGATATCCATGTCCTTGATGTCATATTTTTCAAAATTCAGCATCAAGCTTGCTGAAACTTTGGAATGGACAAAAACAAACATGTCTTCAGAAAGGGGAGATGCCCTTGATGCTAGATTTTTGCAAAATTCAGCATAAAGCTTGCTGAATGTTGCAAACAATGGGTATTTGATTAGGCATTTCCTTGCACTTGAACATGCCAGGGGATGAGCACTCATGTATTCATGACGAAGAATTACACCCCACTTCTCAAAAGGTGAACAAGAATTATACCCGTGTAAAATATGATGATGACGATGGTGCACAAAACACATATATAAATACCAAAGACAAAAACTGGATCATGAATGGACCATTTCACATGCACAGCTATTTCCATTCAGAAAATGATTGGTGCTGACATGCTAATGTCTGTAAAACTAGCTGTCCCACCTTCAGGATCATGAATGTCAGCAGTAGAATGGTTGGAAACTTGGCATGCTAATGTCTAATGAAATTGGGAATCAAACTACTGCTGTCGGACATTCGATGACGTAGCATCCTAATGTAGTGCTCTATGTACAACAACTTGCACATAGGACATGTACATTAAATCAGTCGCTAACACTTGAAGTTTGGTCCCAAATTAAACTGAACTGTCATAAAATCAGCAATTACATAATTGACTATAGCAGCAAATAATACATAAATGAGAGACCATATCATTCATCCCAACTACCCAAGCAACTATACTACACGCACGAATCGACAAAACATATCGATCAAGAACGCACCTCCGGCGGAACCTCCTCGCCGCCGACCGCGCCTTGCGCTTGCGCTTGTCCCGCGCGTCCTCGTGCCTCCGCCGCCGCCTGATCTCCTCCATGACGCCCGCGCGGGACACCTGCCAGTTGAACCGCCGCAGGAGCTCCTCCCCGTCCACGTCCTCGTCGCCCGCGTCCACCTTCGCGTTGTGGTACTTGGGGTTGGCCGCCGGCACCAGGGACAGCTGGGAGGGGTGGGAGAGGGCGAGGGTGGTGGCGGGGAGCGGCCGCCGCGGGAAGGAAACGAAGGTGGCGTTGGAGGAGGGGAGGCGGACGCGACGAGGAGACGGTTGCGGCGGCGGCCATGGTGGTGGTGGTGGACTGGTGGTGATGCCGGCCGGCACACATGACAGACCGAGTTTGTAGAAGGAACTGGTTGATGGGCCTGATGGGCTTGAGGTCCATTAGGCTATGTGCGTTCTCTTAAAAGGATTCAGCCCACGGATCAGCCCAGTGCGGCTGGAATCTGCAGGCCGGATAGTGTTCGACGGGCACTGCGATTCCCTCCTGAAGTGATACGTGTTCTTGCATCTTGCTCCACATTATTATGCACCGACGGATCCAAAACACTTTGCAAAGGTTACTTTGATTAACCGCCGTCAATAATGCTCTTCGGTTCGCATGAATTAATTTTGCTTATACTCCAAGTTTACACAAAGATTATCGCACAAGCATATAATTATATAAAATATATGTTACTTGGTAAATGTAGCTGTCATTATAAATAGAACACCTTTTTTATTATCTTTTGGTGATATGCAAAGTAGAATGCCATTATAAGCCATGGAATTGGAAATAAAATATGGTAGTCATCAATGGACATAATCAGAGATGTCGCCATTTACATTCCACTAGAGATATCGGCTTTGAAATTAATGCTATATATTTTGAAGTTTTGGAGGATTAATCACAAGCCTAGGAGTTATTAATTATTGATAGAATACAGAATGTTTTCACCATCTATACTATATATAGAACATTATGCAGCATGTGTATATATGTTTGTAGGACATACATACCTCTCACACAGAAGCTCCACCATATACCGTGATTGATGCGATGGAGGGAAACTATAGTTGTGATGCTTATGCTTATCCTTGGATGTTTCGTGGTTCTCTCACAATGTAAGTTGAGATCATAAATTTGGTTGAACCATATATAGTAATTTTCTGGACTTTCAAAACATAGTTTTAATTTCTAGTATATAATAAGTAATACTGCACAGCATAGAAGAGAGACCCTTGTGCTCTTCGAAAACTTACACTTCTGCGTCATTCATGCATCTTTATAACAACTAATTAATTAACTATATTGTGCAGCTCAACACACAAATCCAGTTGGGAGCGACAGGGGAACTTGCGGTTGCCTCAAGATGCTACCCAGTTCGCCTCAATGCAAGCGCAATACTTGCTTCTGCTGTTTATATTACCATGGCGGCCCTTACACGCTATGCTTCGAGACACTGGATAAGTGCAACGCCTCTTGTTATGGGCAAGGACGACTAATAATATTAGGGATGGATATGAGCAGTAAATGTTCATTGCCTAGTAATAGTAAAAGATGTAGGATCACCAACAGGTTTTTAGCTTAATGAAACAATTTATGCTTCTCGATCTGCTCTGTGAGCCCTTTGGGTCTCTCGACTCCACCAAATTCAGCTTCAAAATCCATGTAGTAGGAACTCTGACCTGTGAAACCTGCAAATTCAGTGGCCAAATCCATAGATTTGGTGGACCTCTTGCTCTTCAGGCTGAGCAACTATACTATACGCGCGAATAGACAAAACATATCGATCAAGAACCCACCTTCGGCGGAACCTCCTCGTCGCCGACCCTGCCTTGCGCTTGTCCCGTGCGTCCTAGTGCCTCCGCCGCCGCATCTTTTTTATAGAATCCTGCACCCAAAAGAGGGCCAGGCAGCGTGGCCACGTCGTCTGCTTTTCGAGGCCGTTCAATCGGGCGCGCGGACGGTCCAGATCGGACGAGCAACGGTCATTTTGCCAAAAAAAAACTTATTTTTTTTTCGAAAATCAACCCGCACTCCAGAGGCCCTCTCAGTATATTTTTCAAAAAACATCTAAGATTATTTCGAAATCAACCCGCAGTCTAGATCGGATGGGCTACGGTTTTTTTTACAAACAAGACCTTCTCTTTATCGAAAATCAACCCGCGCTCCAGAGACCCTCTCAACAATTTTTACGAAAACCTCCTCAGGTTTTTCTTGAAATCAACATTTAAGCCACCTTTGATTATATCTCTTTTAAAAAAATAAATTAGCTGAAACTTTAAAATTGCATAGTAAATTACAGAAAAATTGTAAATTAGAAAATCAAGTTGATCTGAAACCCTCACGAGTAGAACTATGCAGTGCATCCATAATATGGCATGTTTTAGTAAGAATTTTTTCATATAAACTTTTACCTATGCTTTTTAGAGGTAAATAAAATTATACCTTCATGATGATAAAGTCTCGAAAATACATAAAAATCATAAAATGAAAAAAAAATTGTTGAGTTTCTCATCACTACACCTATATTCTTATTGCCACTGGCCTAATCAAAAGGGAAGGCGCGGCAAAGCCGCGCCGGCGTTTCTACTAAATACCAAACACAAAAATTGGATCATGAATGGACCATTTCACATGCACAGCTAGTTCCATTAAGAAAATGACCGGGCCTGGGATGCTAATGTCAGTAAAACTAGTTGTCCCACCTTCAGGATCATGAATGTCAGCGGTAGCTTTTTTTTTTTACGAATTACACAAGTACAGATGCAGACGCTCAACACGTACGCATACTTAGCCCTATGAACACACGTACGCAAACCCTACCCCTATAAGCACCTCCGAAAGACTGTGCCGGCACATTTCGATATCAACGGAGTCACCACGGGCGCCTCGCTGTCGATGGGAACGTCGTCTACTATTGAAAGCACAATGCTGTTAAATCCTAGAATAAATTTAGGAAAATACGAGCATCCGTGCCAAGTCGGGGACCTGGGTGGTTGGCAACTTGTCATGTTAATGTCTAATGAATTTGGCAATCAAACTATCGTTGTCAGATATACGATCACATAGCATCCTAATGTTGTGCTTAATGCACAACAACTTGCACATAGAACATGTACACTAAACCAGTCGCTAAAACTTGCAGTTTTGTCTAAAACTAAACTAAACTAGTAAACTGCCATAAAAGTAGCAATCATATCATTTACTATTAGCACCTAAAATTTTAAGACAGAGAACACAATGAGACCACATTATTCATCCCAAGTTCCCAACTTACTATACGCACGGTATCTCTAAAAAAGCTATACTATAGAACGAATCCACAACATATCGATCAACAACGCACCTCCAACAAACCTCCTCGCCGCTAACCATGCCCTAGGCTTGTGCCTGTCCAGCGCGTCCTCATGTCTTCGCCGCCGCCTGATCTCCTCTATGACGCCCGCGCAGGACACCTGCCAGTTGAACCGCCGCAGGAGATCCTCCCTGTCCACGTCATCGTCGCCCGCGTCCACCTTCGCGTTGTGGTACCTCGGGTTGGCCATGAGCACCAGGAACAGCTGGGAGGGGGCGGAGAGGCACTACTACAGAATTGAACATCGCTTCCGGTTCAAAATCCCCATTAGTGCGGGTTGTTTGAGCCGACACAACCAAAGCAGTAGTGATGAGGCGGCTCATTAGTGCCGGTTTGGAAACCGGCAGTGATTTGGTTTCTAGAAACCGAGGGTGGTGGCGGGGAGCGGCTGCCGCGGGAAGGAAACAAAGGTGGAGTTGGAGGAGAGGTGCAGATGCGACAAGGAGATGAAGGCGGACGCAGAGGTGGTGGTGGCGCGGCCATGGTGGTGGACTGGTGGTGCCGGCCGGCGAAGACGGGTCAGAATAGAGTAGTCAACATGACAGAACAAACCCACCCCAAAGGTCCCCTCGGCTGCACTTCTGCAGCCGCTGCTGTCAGGCTGCTCGATTTGCACAGTGGTTTCTGAGTGACACAGCTGCAGCCAGCAGCCGGAACAACGCTGAAAATCAGTACCGATCAGAGCCCAACTTATTTGTAGAAGGCCCTGGTTGGTGGGCCTGATGGGCTTGAGGTTTCTTCATTAGGCTATGCGCTTTCTCTTTCTTTAGCCCACGGATCAGCCCAGTGCAGCAGAAATCTGCAGTCCGGCAATAATGCTCTTCCGTCAGCATATAGTATTTTTTTTTATGTATGTGTATATCCACTTCAAGTTTATTTTTACACAAAGGTTATCGCGGTATGCAGAGACATTATTTATGTATATATAAATATGTTACTTGGTAATGTGGCTGTCATTAACACATTATTATAAAAAGAATGCCATTATTAGCCATGGAATGAGTTGGAAATAAAACACGGTAGTCATCAATGGACACCGGCGCAGAATTGGTCACGACTAAACTCATAGCATCTACTAGATGTAGTCATTTATATTCCACTACAGATATCTGCATTTTGTAGTAATTTTGGAGGATTATTAATCTCAAGCCTAGGAGTTATTAACTATTGCTAATATATAGAATATCTTCACCATCTATATATAGAACATTGTGATTGCTGTAGGACACGCATACCTACACACAGAAACTCCACCATATATACACCGTGATTGCTGTGATGGAGGGAAGAATGGCTACTATAGTCGTTGTGATGCTTATCCTCGGATGTCTCGTGGCTCTCTCACAATGTAAGTGCACATCATAAAATCTGTTGAACTAATACCAATTTTCTGGAATTTTGAAAGATATTTTCTAGTATATATATATATAAAGAGACCCTTGTGCTAGCTCTTCTAAATATTTATACCCCTCTCTCTATATGCCTGACGCGTTATTCATCTTATATAACAATTAACACGCAAATCCAGTCGAACCTCCGTGCTATATATTGCCAACAATACAGACCCCCGTGCGCAAACTTCCCAAACGATAAGTGCTTCTGCTGTCAAGGCCTTGACGCCCCGCAGAAATTGCTATGCTACAAGACAGAAGACGAATGTGAGAGAAAATGCTCATGCCGAGCACCAGAAAAGCGCGCCGGCACCGGCAATTACTAATAAGTCCTTTTAGATAATGAAAAAGTATTATGATCGACTTCATCCTCCAAAAAGGGAGGAAGCAGACAAAAGGTTGTTACATTTTAACATCAGAGAGAACAATTAATAATTAGAATTATGGATGAATGTGATCAGTAAATGTCCATTTCTCAAGTGATAATAAATATGAGATTGCCAACATGTTCTTAGCTTAATGGGTCAATTTAGCCTTTCATTCTCTATATGTACTGTCGGTTACTTTGGAACTACTAGGCTCCAACAAATTAATTCAGCTCCACGGAGTAAGGATCCAAACATCCTAAATCCATGTAGTAGAAATATATTTTCCACGAGTCTAGTGGCCAAATTCGTGTATTTAGTAGTCCCATAGAGAGCTCCTTAAGGAGTGTTTTTTTTTAAAGAAGAAAGCATACATGTCAAGGAGTTCCCGTTTTCCAGCAATCAACCACTTTCTGTTTCGGTATTTCTCCTCCCGCTTCAACTACTGCCCACGCGCCCGCAATCCTCTCCGTTGGCTTTGGTATTGGTATCCACTGATGCCCTTGGATCGCGTAATGGATCCACTAGGCGCACAGGGACTAGCCGGTCACGGCATCTTCGGTATCACGTGTCAGTGAGAAGAAGGCGACACCATGATCTTCGACGCATGTGTGGTACCAACACGGGCGTCGCATCTAAAGGGCTTTTCCTTGAGACATGCTCCTCGATTCTACTTGAGGAGCTTTGCAAAGAGCCAAAAGCAGGGCAGCACTACTGGAAACGCACATTGTCGTGCCAGCGAAATAATCGATAGGAAAATTAGCATACTGACAGGAACATAATTCTCTAACAACGTACCAACAGAAAGTTACCAACAGAGCTAGTCACGAGAGTTTAACAGAAAGTTACCAATAGAGCTGGTCACGAGATTTTAACATAGGGTTATGCTAAATTTCCGGGAGAGGGGGAGCCGACCGACGGACCCCCCGACCGATCTCTTAGATCATTCGAGGGCTCAGGGGCTATACCCATCGGGTACGCTCGCACGCATCCTCTAAAAGGAGTCGGGGAAGAGCCCGAGCACGCTCGGGCCCACTGCTAGGGGCTCGGGGCTCACTAAAGCCCTGGACTGCTGAGCGTCGGCAGCCCGAGCCTGTCTCCAACCTAGCGCATATCCGAACTAGTGCTCAAGTAACGGATCGACGTCCCGAGCCATGGGCAACCAGCCAGGCGACCGGCACCTGGGCGGTACGGAGATGCCACATCGTCCGGCTGTTCAACGGGAGGGAGGCCCTGTCGGCGACTCCTTCGACAGGGTCACGCAACTAGCGTGATACAACAAGACAATGGACTCCAACAGCTCCAGGGGCAAAGGGCTCTAGGGCCCACTCCTCAGCCCCTCTAAGCGGGGGCTCCTTGCTAGCCAAGGAAGCCTCAACAAGGTTCACCCAAGGGAGGCCGCGCCGCAGCAAATAGCTCCTGACGGTTAAGAGCCAGACGGTGGCAGCGACGTCAGGAGGCGGTTGCGGCTCTGTCGACTCCTCCCTACGCGACGAAGAGGGGGTGCATCAACACCGCGGCAGCACTAAAACCCAAAGCCGCAGGACTTTGCACCGTTAAGTTGGCCTGCTTGTATTGTTGTACATTTTCTTTAATAGTTAACTCCAGTTGCAAGGGTTGTATGAGTGAATGTTGAAAGATTTGTCGGTTGCGCTCTTTTGAAACATTCAGAAAAAAAACTGTTAATCCATTGAAATCTCGCCGTCGTCTTTCTGGATTAGAATAATGACTTATTGATGCTAATTCATGCGATGAGCTTTTTACTAATAGTGGAAGGAATTGGTTTTACTTTTGTCCCTGTGTGTTATTACCTGCTGTACCGTCGTAATCAAGTCAAGGGTCTCGACGAGATATGACTGAGTATGGCATGTCTGTGGTAGCCGCCTGCCAGTCGTGCAGACTGTACTGCTTCTTCCATGGGTTGCAATAGTCAATCATGGGTTGCGATAGTCAATAATTAATGGCAGGGGCGGATGCAGTTTTATACGTAGAAAAACCGTACGGTTGGACTCCGGACCGGAAATCGCTGAATCGCAATCGCAATCGCTGCCGCATCCGCGCATGAGCCCTTTCTCCTGTTGCCCGCGTGCCCCCGTCGGCCGTCGGTCGTCGGCGACTGGTGCGGAGGTCGGTGATCGGAGCCCTCACTCCTAGAGCTCTGCTGCCCTAGTTTCTAGCCTGCAAGATCGACCGACCCCCGTTGGAGCAATGGAGCCTCGAGGCCTGGGGAGCGTACAACAGCCTTCGGCTGGGCTTGTTTGGCTGCGCTTATACGATCGTGGATTATAAGTTGAAATAATATTTTTTTTTATATCAAACTAGCCGGCAATACTTTTGGTTTATAATCCGAGCTGAAATGAACAGACTGCTTAGATCTCAGGTATTGACGGCTGCCCTGTCTCCATAATGCACTTTTTAATTAGATCATCGATCTATCAACTATCATGCATCCATGTCGCAGTTGTTTGGCGTCTTTCCCGATCTTCTCTACAAGCCACACAAGACGTGAGCTAATGTAGGTGCATGGTGCTTAATTTGTACCCAATTTAGCTAGGACGGAACTGATCTTATCATCAATTGCTAGGTTTTTTTTAAGCATGGATGACTCATGAGCACAGAAATATGGCAAGTAGAAAGTGTTAGTTGATCTCCACCAATAGACCCAACGGCCTATTGGGCCCTTGCCTCTGCTCCCTGATCGGGGGAGCCCAACCCTAACTGGTTGGTGAGCCCCTGTCGCACAGCACATAAATAGAGGAGTGGGGACTGGGCTCAAGAAACAAGGTTCGCCGGAGCCGCCACACCCACCAAAGAAAACCCTAATCCGATCTAAAGACGTGCTGCCAGCGACGGGATGAGCCCGCCACCACCGCCGTCGCTCCCACTGCAGGGCCACCATCGGACCACTACAGTACCAGCACTGGACTTCACCTCCTCGCCACTACGACGTCTACTACACCGACGGCATCGGCGTCTACGCTTGCCGATGCGCTGCAACAGAGACAGGCAAGGAGCCTAACCGGATCTACGGGTCACAGTGAGGTACACACATTCGATCATAACAATGGTACGAGAGTCAGTTGCCTCTGTGTAATCCTAACCCTAACCGGGTAAAAGAAGAAAGGAAAAGGGACCGGGGGTGGCGGAGGTCACTGGAACCCCGGTCACCACCGCCATCGCGCGGGAAAAGTGCCGCACTGACACGGCAAGAAAAGAAAAGAACAGAACACTCCCTAACCCTAACCCTAATTGGGTTAAAGAAAGGGGGAAAAGAAAGGTTTCGGCCTTAAGACGAACAGAGCCGAACCCTAAATCCAAAAGAGAAAAGAAATAAAAGAAAAGAAAGGAAATTCAAAAGAAGAGAAAAGAACAGGGGTCGGCACACAAACCCTAACCCCAATCGGTCAAACAAAGAAAAGAAAACAAGATCCATT